AATTACTCTCTTATATTTCGAGGGAGTCTTCAAGTGTTAGCCTGAGGTTGGTTGTAATTCTGTTGACAGAGAAGTAGGTATATTTTTATCCAGTATTTGGTTAAGTCCTCCTACAATCCAAAGGAATTGCTTTGTTGCAACTGATAGTGCCAAATACTCAGCTTCACAAGTGTAGTGAGCAATGGTACTGTCAGAAGCAGCATGTAGACAGCAGAGCAGAGACAAGGATCAAGACAAGGATGCCAGGCAAGAGGTTGCCATCCTACATCATGCATGAGATAGGTGCATAACCACTCAGCCAAAAGGCCAGACCAGAACTATAGAACACTAGATTCTGGTTATCTCTATAGATGTATATTATACAGTAGGCATTCCTGACAGGTACGTTGTTTGCAAGACTTCCAGCAGTTTGTGGATTGACCAAGTTTGAATAAATAACCAGAGAAACTTCTGTGTGTATTGAGACAATTTTTGTATGATGCGTCACAGTATCCATTGAGAGCCAGGGGAGATTCAAATTTGTATAACAAACTGACATCTTCTGTCCCCTTAATATATCTTAGAACTAGCTTGGCAGCACTAAGGTGAGTGATTGATGGATCTGAGTTAAATTGAGAGAGGTGAGAGATTGCATATGTAAGATTAGGTCTAGTAGCAGATATGATATACATTATGGATCCGATTATTTGTAGATATAGAGTAGCATTGGCCCTAGGTTCTCCATTTTGCATCGCCTTTTGTGGTTATTTACACTCTATAGATGTGGAGACCGTATTGAAATCTTTCATCAAAAACCTTTCAAGGATTCTATTTATGTAAGCAGACTGCGATAGAGTGATTCCTACATCAGAGTACTCAATCCAAATTCCAAGTAGCCAATGAAGAGTTCCCATGTCCTTGTCCTTGAATCGGCCTTGAAGTGGTTTACTAAATCTTCGATGAGCTCCTCTTGTTCTCCAATAAGTATTATGTCGTCCTCGTAAACTGCAATGATAATTTTACCTGTGTTGTGGATAAATACCCAGGGATCAAATAGGGATGGAGCAAGAACATAAGAAATGATATATTCAGCCAACCTGAAGAACCATTCCCGAGGTGATTGCTTTAGTCTATATATACACTTTTTAAGTTTTGCAACATAATCTCCTTGTCTGTACCCTTCAGAAAGTTCCATGAAAATGTCCCCTTTCAAGACTCCATATAGAAATGCAGTTTTAGTGTCGAGCTGTCTTGTTTTCCATTCCTTAGATGCCGCAATTGCCAAGATTAACTGTAATGAATCAAGTCGTACAACTGGAGCAAAGGTTTTGTGATAGTCAAGTCCTTGGATCTGTGAGAATCCTTTGGCAACGTAACGTGCTTTGCATTGTTCAACTTCCCCATGCGCATCTCTTTTTATCTTGCACACCCATTTGCCATTAACAACTTTTCGTCCTTTAGGTCGAGGAACAACATCCCAAATGTTGTTATCTTTATGGGATGCTATCTCCTCATCAAATGCCTTTTCTCAATAAGCCCAATTAGGTGATGATTTGGCAACACTGTATGAGCTGGGTTCAGTTTCATCATGAATATTTAACATGGCTGACTTGTTACCAACACTACATGTTCAAATCTGCAATTTGGGTCCAGGAAGATCACGAGAAGTTTTCCACCATTCCCCTGTTATTTTGTCCTCATATGTCCGAGGACGTATTGTGCGCTTTGGTCTAGAGTTAACAAATGTTCTTGAATCTTCATTTGATGGGTGGCATTGATTCGACAAATTTGTTTTTGGCTGGGGTTCAATCTGAACAGTAGCTAGAATTGATGACGGCTCTTGTGATCATGGCTCTCTTAAATCGGATTGAAGAGCGTGACATGGATCTTGATTTTGATGGACATTTCGAGTATTTTTTTCTTGTTTGACACTAGAGAATTCAATGAACTATTCAACGTCAGTGATGAATTTGGTAAGTTAGGTTGATTTGTGATATGAGGTTAGAGATCAGAGATTTTCTCCAGGACAGAGTTATCAAGCTGATGAGGTAGAAATTTTGCATATGCTGATATGATAATCCGTTTTTGCTCAGGAACAAATATTCAATAGTGATGATCAACTTCAGTGTATCCAACAAACACACCTTTCTGCGCCCTTTGTAGAAGCTTTCTTCCAGATGGTCGCTTTGCCATGGGGACATGTATGTAGCATTCTCTTCCAAAGGGTTCAAGGTGTAAAATGGATGGTTTTCTCTCATGGAAAGCTTCATATGGGGTCTTTTCATTTACAGAGCCATGTGTAGTACGATTTTTAGTATGAAAAATATGTGCACTGCTTCAGCCCACAACTGCTTAACTTTGACTGTTTTTAGCATTGCTCGTATTCCTTCAGAGATCGACCTGTTAAGCCTTTCGGCTACACCATTTGATTCAGGGGAATAAGGAGGAGTCAAATGATAACTTATCCCATTCTGAGCAATAAATTTGGATAGTAAGTCATTGACATATTTGCCACCATGATCTGTTCTAAGTGACTTGATTTTGCAATTGTACTGCGTTTCTAAGGCTGTATTAAAATCTATAGTGGCTTGCGCCGCACCAGATTTGTATTTTAGGGATTGGATAGTTGCACATTGTGTTGCATCATCTACAAGACTTATGTAGTATAAAGCGTTGCCATAAGATGGAACAGGGAATGGTCCTGTAAGATCTGTATGAATATATTTGCCTTTGAGTTCTGCTCCAAAAATCAATGGAGGAGGTTTTTGATGGACTGATTTGTAAGACATACAGGTGTCACAGTAAAAGTTCTTTGGTGTATTTGGGATGATACCTGAGTTCTGTATGAGCTTATCTGTCTTAGAAATTGTAGAAGGTGCTGAATGATAGAGAGCTTCATGCCCAAATTCAAAGGTAGAACATGTGGTTTCATTGTTTTCGGTCCTTTCCCTGATCACAGGTAACGGACCATTGTAATAAGCTTCCAACCAAGTTTTATCAATTTTATAGATCCTTATAGTTGTACCATTGTCCTGGAGGATATATCCTTTAGATCTAGCTTTCTTCCAAGAAAATAAAGGCAGGGATAACTTGAGTACGTAGAGCGCATCATCTATTCTGACAGTAGAAATATTTCCATTCGATAGTATACAATTTAACAGTACAGTTCCTTTCCCCTCGATTGATATCTTTTCATTTGAGCTTGATGTTACATAACCAGCGCAGGATGAAAGTTGTTCAAATCTTCCTGGGTAAGGGCACATGTGAGCTGTTGCACAGGTATCAAAGTAGAAGGGATGATGTGTAACTTCTTGAGGTCCATTGACAGCAACATTTGTTTGTTTATGGATATTGTTAAGTTCTCTGGATATCATGGCTTTCCTTTGGCGGAGTCTGACATAAGAGTTCCATACACAATCTTTGTACTCGAACAGATGATGTTTCTTAATGAAGGAACATTCTCTTGGTATAGAGTTTTTAAGAGTGTCTAGATTTGGTAACCTTTGATGGTTTTGCTACTCTTGATGTGTCATTTTTGAGCTTCTTAAAGTGCGTAATCAGAGCTATATGAGGAGAGGATTGCATAGGTAATTTATGGTCAATGTCTAGAAGACGTTGCTTGACTTCAGTATTGGATAGATTATCCTTTGTTACCAAGTTGTAAACAATATTCTTGTGATTTCGACTTAAGAATGCCAGCATCAAGTCTCTTTATCTTATCATCATCTAGAAAATCAGCAATATTTTGACATCTAAGGCTGGAGGATTCACGGGCTAACAAAGTAGTCCGGAAGTATTTATTCTCATACACATCTAAGAAAGGAGTCATTTTGCCATTGGAATCATGTGTGCTTAAGAGTGACATCAAGGATCCAAGCTGGGGAGCTAATGTGAACTTATTGGTCCAATGGTATTCAGTTGTCAAAAAGATCCACATCTTGCGGGGGTCTTGTAACTTGAGAATTATTCTCAGTATACTTGGACATACCACTAGGATATATATATTGATAGCAATTGTGAACAATTCGCGAAATGCTTCCTGCTCTTCAAGGCAAGCATCTTCCTTTGGCTTTTTGCTATCAGCAACAAGTTCATAGAGCTTTTGGCCTCTCTAGATTGCCTCCATTGTTGTGGCCCATGACTTGTAGGTATTGTGTCCGGTCAGTTGGGTAACATTAGAGAACGAGATGTTTTGCATTGAGCAGTTGAGTCGATTTGTGAAATATTTATTGTTTTCTTTATCGAGGATGGAGGTTTAGTTTGAAGGTGAATTTGCCATTTCTGTTGAACTGTTAGATGATTGATTAGACAATAAGGAAAAGGGAAATTCTAGGATATTAATGCTTTTCTTTGGGCTCCGGGTCATAAACTGTTGTAATGGAAGTTGTATAGAGAATCATAAGCTGTTAGGCTTGTATTTAACATCACCTAGTGAAGCGAGTTGGGAGATTGAAGAGTCTGAAAACTGTAGTGGAGAGCTGTTGATTAAACCCACATAGTGTCAGAGCGCTATTTAAACTAATTACTACATCTAAGTAAAGGACACAATTCACTTGTTTATGCCAAATAATTAGGAGGCTGGTCAATGTATGAGTTGCCATGAATGTGGCTAGTAATGATAGAACATTATTACGTTCCGTATCAATGCGACTCATCATTGCCAAGTAGCACCAATTTCAACACCATGTACTATCCTGAGCTAAAAGCACTTACTAGATAAAAATGATATGATAGAAAATATATGTTAAGGGCGAAGAGGATTACGGACACTACACATAAACAGTACCACAAAGAATTAATATTTTTCTATAGAGATTAATTACAGGAAATGTGTTACATTAAATATGCCCTCTGCAGCTACCAGTGATCTAGATTCCTGACACGTAATCCTTCGCTACTGAGTGATCTGTTTCCAAGCCTCAGCATAATAAACTGAGTGATTTGAGTCATGAGAAACGACCCCACGTTGTATCACGTGATTAAAGTTCTTGTATGAGGCTGGGCCTGAAAAATAGCCCAGCCTAATCGAATGGGGCACAGCCTGTAACACAGATATGTCCCTGCCACTTGCAGCGTGTGCACACTTTTGTTGCCAGACAATGAGGTGATGAGTCGGAAATTTTTTCTCTTTTGCTTGCAAATGCTATGACTGGATCTGGATGCGTTCGTAGATAATTTGTTTGACTTGCACTTGGAGAGTTAAAAGCGGCTGCAAAAGTGATGGATGTACCATGTCGAAGCATTGTAACAGCCATGCTGTAATGCCCACTTTGATATTCATCAAAATGGTCTAAAAGCCTGTTCTTCATAAGAGAGTCGGACGTTCGCATTGAACTTTCTGCAGAGGCTATTTTTATCTGATGTTTTCTGAGTTCTTCCACAAATATGTCCACATCTGTCCCTTCATCCATCAAAAACTTCCAGAAATCTTCGAGCAAGGCATTTATTGTGGATTGCTCATAAGGCCGAAAATAATCATTGATAAAGTCCCACATTTCTTTTGCCGTACTTTTATCCTCAACAATATAAAAAACATCTTCTGGTATCAGCTGTAGAAGTGCAGCCTTCATGTTGCCATCTGCATCAACCATCTTGTCATCTTCATCTTTCATCTTTGAAGATGAAATATTAGCATTGGAAACTCTTAGTCCTGGTACTTGATCTAATATAAATATTACCATATGTAAGTAAGTGACAACCTGTATGAATAACCTTTTCCACTTCGTGAAATTCGACTCACTCAGAGAAGGCGCATGCTTTAGAGCTCTCATTATCTCGTATGTAGACATATTGTCGGTCTTCGAGGGGACTGTGAGATATGTGTAGATTTCAGTACAGATTTTAGGAGAGCTGAGTGAATTTTATCAATCTGAACAAATTATTTTCTATAGTTTTTGAATATAAGTTGTAAAACTTAGAGGGGCTTCGTATAAATGTCACGTGAATCGTCAAGAATGTAAGAGTAAAGGTATAGAATTATCTACTACTACGAGTCGAGCCTAGGACTATATTGTGTGAGTATCCCCTTGTGCGCTCCCTTGAGTATTGCCAGTAGCCAAACATCTGTGCGCGTAGATCTTACTTTCGCTTTTGGACTGGCGCGAAAACCCAGACTAACATAGGTCTGCTTACACGCCCTCTCAGTCCTTAAGCGAAAGTCCATCCATCAACCCTAGTTGTCCAGTGAAGCGCCGGAATAAATTGGCGCTAAGGGGTTTTGTCAATCCGTCTGCAGGGTTGTTTCTGGATTCGATCTGTTGTATAGCAATGTTGAGATCACGAATTTCTTGTACAATGTAATGGTAATTGACGCGTATGTGGCGTCGGCCCGATGTCATGCCATTGCTTGTAGCCCACTTGATAGCTCCCGTGTTATCCTCTAAAATTGGTATAGGGCCATCAGGCATCACACCCAGTTCGCTCAAGAAGCTTCGAATCCAGGCGCAATCCTTTGCAGCTTCGCACATGGCCACATACTCGGCCTCACAGGTCAGTGTGGAAACTGTACTCTGCAATTTTGATCTCCAAATTACGGGACCTCCAGCCATGAATATTACGTATCCAGTCGTGGATTTTGCTGTATTGTGGTCATCCGCAAAACTAGAATCCACCGCACAAAACTATCCGTGTTCTCCAAACTCATTTAAGTGCCGGTGATTTTTCTCATATATTAAACCCCTGTCTGCGCAACCAGATAGGTAGTGAGGAATCCTCAACATGTGGTGCATGTGTTTAGGCGATGGGTTGCACATGAATCGTGCCATCTGAGATGTGGCCTGAGATGTGTCGCATTGAACCATACAGGAGGAGAAGTTGTACTTGCCAACTAGCCTTTGGAACTCGTTCAGGTCTTTTGCAGTTGCCTTACTTGTGTTTCTTCTCATCTCTGCCCTGCTACCTGGTGACATTGGGGTTTCGATACCTTTTCTAGAAATCCCGAATTCTTGGAAGGATCTCTCGAGGTATTGTTCCTGGTCTAATCTTACGCATCCAGTTGGCGATGATCTATGGATTCTGACGCCTAAGAACCAGTGTGCCTCACCTAAGTCGTTTAATGGGACTTCGCTGTTCAGAGATTGTGATAGTGACTTGAGGTCGCCCATATTTGGACCGAAAAATAGGAAATCGTCGACATAAGAGGCCACAATAATCCCCTTTGTCTTGCCTATATAAATGGCGTTATCAGAAATCAAAGGTTTGTAGCCTCTATCCATCATGATGCGCCTGACTTTATCTTGCCAACAAGCCCCTGACTGCTTCAGACCATACAAAGGTCTTTTGAGCTCGATGACACTGGTGCATGAATAGCCAAACCTCCTTGCGGCTTCTGAGTGTTCCTCGAAATACTCTTTCAGACGTGGGAACTGTTCCATGAAAACAGTTTCCTTCAAGTCACCTGCAAGATATGCAGCTATGAAATCAGCTTGGAGGATGTACCAGCTCTTCAGCGAGGCTAATGCCATTAGGCATCTCCAACTAGCTGACCTAGCTGTTGTTGAAGTGGTGTCGTTGAAGTCTACTCCTTTTGTCTGCGTGAAACTTTTAGCCACCACTCTAGCCTTGAACTTGTCAAGTTCCATGTTTGACTTATATTTCTTTTTCAATACCCATTTGGATGCAACCAGACGCCCTCTATCTTTCACAGCTGTTCGTGATACGAACTTAAAGGTTCCACGAGACAAACAACCTTCAATCTCTTGATTGATGGCTTCTATCCACTCGTGTCTCTCGGGGCCTTTAATAGCTTCGGAAAACGTAGGTTCATTGAGTGATGATTCGACTACGTATGAGGACGCGCCAGAGTGGTTAACCATTATGCGGAAGATTTCATCACCATCGCTGTGCAGGCCAAATTCCTGTCCATCGATGGCTTTCCGAGTCATGTGAAATAGGTCCATCTTGTTGGATGTGGAGGCCAAGTTCATTTTCCCAAAGTTTCGTCCTGTTACTGCGTCGCATATGTCTTCAGGGAATTTTGCAGGATTCTCACTATTTTTAAGTTCAAGCAGCACTATTGCCATCTCATTGTCCGTATCAAGCGGAGCATCAAGAGTTAACATCTGCTGATTGTCGTAGGGCCGCTCGATTGTGCGCTTAGGACGACCACGCCCTCTTGGCAATATTGGCTGCTGATTGTCAACCTGGGGAGTGTTGTAATCCTCATTTCTTGCATAGTCTTTCTTTCTAGATTTAAGCCTATCCTGAACATGCTTAGGGAGCGATCGAACAATTTCTCTTGGGTCTGCTGCCCAGCCAAAGCCTGGGCCGATATTTTCGTACGCCGTTACTTGAGGCGACACAATAAATCTTCCACCGTCAAGTAACCAAACAAGTTTGTTCTTTCTTCCTCTGTAGCCGAGGAAGACACTTTTTGTGCCGTTGGCATCAATTTTTTCGCTCGCAACACAGTGATTTTCGTCGACGTGGGTGATGCATAAGGTTCCTGGTATCCACAAGTGATCCACTTTGGTTTTTGCGCAATCAGGTTCAATCTGTGACCAATATACTTCCCATGGCGTCTTCTTGTCTTCTACTGAACTTTGAGATGTACAGTTTAAGGTGTAGCACACCATTTCCAACATATGGTTCCAGAAAATCGATGGAACTTTCATTTGAATGCTGCAACATCGTGCTGCGTCCTGCACGAAGCGGATTCCTCTCTCTGATACGCCATTCTGATACTGGTTATTTGGTGCGGAGATGATCACATCAATTTCTTCTTTTGCAGCAAAGTCTTGGAGAGTGTTTAGACCCCAATCACGACCCCCATCAATTGTTAGGCATTTCACCCGAAGTCCATGGCGCTGTCTCAGTTCGGAGTTTGTTTTCGACAGAATTGACTTTAGCTTGTCAGCGGCGTCGCTCTTTTTTTTCAAGGCCCGGAATATTCTGTACCTCGAAACGTCATCTGTCGTGAGGCAGAAGTATCCATAGCCCTCCATTGTGACCGGATTTAAGGTTCCTACATCGCAATGCCAACCTTCACCGACGTTTCTCATTCTAGGTCGTCTATCGCATGTTTTATATTTTATTGATTTGCCCATGTCGCACGCTTTGCATGGCAAATTTTCAACTTGTGATGGCAGTAGGTCGATACCAACTGTATTTTTAATCGTCCATTTGAGTCGTTCAGCGCTGGGGTGGCATAAGCGCCTATGCCATAGGATCAGGCGTTTCATCACGTCATTGGTCATGTTGAAAACACCACTCTTCCAACAATCTTGATAGGCCTCTGTAAATTCCTTTACCTCAGGGTCTCGTTCGGAGGTGTCTTTTTCACTTTGATGAATACTATCCACCGAGGTGAGGTTCACTGCCTTTTTGTAGCCTGTCAACTTTAACGGTTCTGGATGGTTAAACAACCACAAGAAAAATCCTCGACGTTCCGCGTTTATATAAGACAGGACTTCGACATTAGGGCTCACTATCTTATTTTTATCCAGGTAACCACCACTTCGGTAGAATCGTTCTCCACTGATGATATTTAGAGGGAATACCTTCAAGTATACCACGTACTTCAACCTCATTGAAGTTTGGTTGCCGCCAGGCCCGGTGAGTGATAGCCAAATTTCTCCGATGCATTCCGCACATACAATTCCACCTCCAGTCTGAATTGGGAATTGGTTAGGCTTTAGCTCTACAACTGTGCCTGGCTTGAAGTTTCTCCGACAGTTAGTGGCATCTACATTGGCACCCGTATCAAATAGCCAGCGGCTTGCAACTCCACTTCCTCCAGATGCGCTTAGAATTTGCTGTGTGAAGTTGATGGAAGCTCCTGGGGATTGCGACTCGAGCAACTTTTTATCATCTACTGGCTCGCCACAACGACGCGCCATTTCATTCTCGTAGAAATCGACCATGTTTTCGTAAACCTGTGGGTCTACTTGAGCAGCGTAGCTGTTCCCAGAGAATTCTTCGGAAATTTGGCAATATTTGTTAGCTATTGCAGCCGGTGGGCCTATGTCGATCGACAATGTTTTGTGTGCGGCATGAGAGTTTTGTGCCTCCTTTTCTTTTTTCTCAGGACAGTTCTTGGCAATGTGTCCTTCTTTCTTGCAGTTATAGCAACGGATGGCAAACTTTTTCTTAGGGTTGTTGCCTTTTCCCTTTATTCTCGACTTTCCTTGGTCACTTGTATTCTGTTCACCTTGGGCGTTGTTCAAGTATTTCTTCACCGGCTGAGATTTCCTGAGCCTCTCTTCTTTGCCCAATTCTCCGATCCTGTCGTAGTGGTGAGATATAAAATCTTGAATAAGATTTTCTGCTGACCAGCTTTGAAAACGAGCGATGGTGGAGACCATTGAATTCCACCTCCCAGCTTTATCCTTCGTCGATTGCTTGAAGATAATGGAGATTTGTCTCTCTGCTAGAGTCCCACCAGTGGAAATGTAGTCCCTAACACGTGTCTTAAACTTTGTCATGTACTCCACAGGGCATCCTCCTTCATACTTGAGGGCGATAAGAGTTCCCCAAACGGCCTCCTGTTGGACTTCACCAACCTGACGATAGGTTCGTTCGAACAACCTCATCATCTCTGTGCCTCGTTTCATCCCTACGACTAGACTTCCTG